ACAGTATATCTTCTACTTTTCTATTTGTCCATTCTTCGAGTTGTAACATTTCTTCAATTGTGTTCATTCCTTTCATTATTTGCAATCTCTCTTCTTCTTTTCTCTCTTCTTTTATTATTCTTAATTTCTCTAGTTGTTGTATCTTCTTCTCCTGCTCAGTTGTCTTTCTCTCCTGCTCTTGAATCTTCCTCTCGTGTTCTTGTATCTTTTTGTCTTGCTCTTCTTTTTGCTCTTGTATCTTTCTGTCTTGTTCTTCTTTTTGTTTATTTCTTTCTTCTTCTTGTTCTTTTATCTTCCTTTCTTGCTCTTGTATCTTCTTCTCTTGCTCTTGTGTCTTATTCTCTAGTTGTTGTATCTTTCTCTCTTGCTCTTGTGTCTTTCTCTCTTGTTCTTCTTTTTGTTTCTTTCTTTCTTCTTCTTGCTCTTTTATCTTCCTCTCGTATTCTTGTATCTTCCTCTCGTGTTCTTGTATCTTTCTCTCTTGCTCTTGTTTCTTTCTTTCCTCTTCTTCCTCTTGTCTTTTTCTTTCCTCTTCTTCCTCTTCTTGTCTTCTCTCTTCTTCTTCTTCTTGTCTTCTTCTCTCTTCTTCTTCCTCTTGTTGTCTTCTCTCTTCTTCTTCTTGCTGTTGTCTTCTCTCTTCTTCTTCTTTTCTTCTTTCTTCTTCTTGTCTCCTCTTCCTTTCTAAATAATCACTGTAATATGTTTGCCATTCTTCTTTCTTCTTATTAAATTCTGCTGTGATTGTATCTGTTTCTTTTGGTTTTCTGAATAATTTGTTTTTCATTACCATTTCTTCAATTGAAATGATTTTATCAATTAGTTCATTACGTGTTTTACTTAGTGTTTCTTCATCATTATTACATTCTTCTATGATTCTTGACATTTTATTCTTCAGTATTTCTATTTGGTTGATTGTTTCTTGACTTTTTTCTATCACTAATTTTCTTCTTCTTTCTGTTTCATCAATCCTATCAAATATTCCTTCTCCTCTTTTAATTGCTTCTGAGTATGTTTCATTATCTTCTAGTTCAAATACTTCATTTTTAATACTTCCTAAATAATATTGATAATTCTTAGTAGTATCATCAATTGATTGTTGAATATTTGGAAGTGTTTCAACTACTTCTTTAAACAATTGGTTATTCTTGTTTATTAACTCTTCCATTTTAATTTAAATTGATGTTTATAAGTTCAAAATATGTTTAAATAGTTAATCCACGTTATTAACACATCAAGTTAAACATTATTTTTATCATCATTCTACTTTAAATAAATGTTATTTATTTTTATCATTTTTACAATAACAATAAATAAATAATAATATTAATAATATAATAATAATAAAATTATAATATTGTTATTTTCTATAATTAGTTTATTTTATTTTTAGTATTTTTTCATTTTTTTTAAAATAAGAAAAAATTGAAGAGAAGAAAATTCAATTCTGTTTTATTTTTATTATTTCATCGTTTGTGATTTGATTATTCATGTTTTAACAACATTAATTCAATTAAATTAATTTAATAAAGATAATAAATGATAAAGAAAAATAAGATAATAAAATAAGAATAAGAAATAAAAGAGAAAAGAAAAGAAATAATTATTATAAATACACAATGAATAAAAGAAATTAAAATAAAAAGAAATGAAATGAAAATTAAATAAAATTACATTAAATAACATAATAAAAGAAATAATCAGTACTTTAATAATTAAAATATTTAATACGAGAAAATATCAATATTGATAATATTTTTGTTTATTGAAGATGAAATAATAAATAATTTAATCATATTTCATTCTTGTATTTTGATTATTTAACAACATTATCATCATTCATTCTAATTGATAATCTATGAATAAAATTATAATCATTGTCACTAAATAAAAAAATAAATCATTGTTTAATGGAAATTAAAAATTATAATAATAAATATATTTTAAAAATTATGTAAAATTATTTAATCGTTTTTATTCAACCATAACATTACAAATTTATTTTTATTTAATGATGTTTGTATTTCAAACTAATAAACAAAAACAAACTGTCATGTTAAATTATCGATAAATTTATTCGTTTATTTTTAAATATTTTTTATTTCCTTTTATTTCAAAAATATATTTTTTATGTAAAAAATAAATAAAAACAACAATAATGTTTATGTAACATTCGATAAAATATTTTATTTTTAAAAATATTTTGTTGTTTTTCATTTAAATAAAATATGTTGTGAAGAATATTTAAAAAATGTAGAATTGTAGTTATTTATTTCAAATGAAAATGAAATGTTTTTTAATAATAAATAACTTCAATTCATCAAATTGATAAATAAATAATTGACATGTTTAATTGTTATTTAAAACGACTATCAACTAACAACAATCAATGAATATTAAATAAATTAAATTATTTATCCTTTGAAGTACAAGTGATTGAAAATTACATTTTGTAAATTCAAAATTAAGAAGAATGTTTTAAAAGAAAATAATACCGCAAAATCAGAAACTAAAGAAATAAAATGAACATAATGAGAAAGTGATAAATGAGATATATTTATTATTATTATATCTGTGTTACAAGACACAGAAGAACGAAAAGAATATATATGAATAAATAGTTGATTATACTAAATAAATAAAATTAAGGTTTAATAATTTTTAACCTATTGTTCATGTAAGAATAATAGTGTTGATTATATTAAAAAAGAATAAAAAGAATTTTAAATAATTAATATTATTTTGAATTTCAACAAAGTTTTCATAAAATAATAAAACAATGGATAAATTGATATAGAATGTTTTTTCCAATATTAGACATTTAGAGACATGTTTGTATCGTGTTGATTAAATGTTGTTGCTATATCCATAAAGAAGTTCATGAAGAAAAGAAGAAAACAAAAGTAGATAAATATCAACAAAAATTATTGAAATTTTTAATGGAATAACTGGAAAATATTCATTTCCATTGTAATTTAATGAGTCAAAAGGTTCATCTTTTGTTATTATAATACAAAAGGCTAAAATAGAATTGTAATGATGATAATGATAATATTATTAACATTAATTAATGTAGAAGAAGTTGAAAAAAAGAGATATTGATTATCATAGTATTACTAAAGAAAGAGATAAAAAAGATAGAAACATTAAACAAGAAAAGAATAACCAAATAAATAAAAATAAAGAAATTGCAAAGAAATAAAAGAATGAAATATATAGAAGAAATTAATTATTGTGATTTGGAAATTGAAAGAACTGAAATTAAATAAATTATTCTTTCTAAAAAATCAACAAGAAAGAAGAACAAGAAATAAATAAAAGAAATAAATAGAAAACAAAATTACCAAAATATTTATGTCTGTAAAAGAAGATATTGAATTTATTGAACATGAAGAACTAGAAAATATTTTATCAGCAATATTCATCATAAAGAAGAAATAATTAAAAAGTTAATAAATATGTATAATGATTGAACATCATTAGAAAGATAATAGTTATATTTCTACTGTATATTTGATGAAATAATTTAAAAACATTAAATAAAATAAATAAATTTTTATTTAAATTTATTTTGAATAGTTTATTATAAAATATGATAGTTTATATTTTAAATAAACAATAATTTAAATAAAATGAATAATAAATGAAATAATTAATTAATTTATGAAATATGAATATTAAATAATATTTTATTCATTGAAACATTGATTATTTATCATTCTTTTTATTTCATTTTATTTAAATTGAATTATTTCTCATTATTATTCATTTCATTAATTTATTAATATTTAATATTTATTTATTTGAAAGTACAACAAATAATCATTCTTTCTTATTTATTTGTTATTTATTTCTTTTCTTGTTGGTATTCTTGAGATAAGGGATTCGAAGATGGCATGTCAGAGACATCACATAAAAATATAAAATATTTCTATACTTCGAATATCTCAGTTTTCATCTGGTCATGACATGTCTTTGATGAGATAATATCTATTCAAAACGAACTGGTTATTATTTATTAATATTTATTATGAGTAGTTATTATGTAATAATATTATTCATTATTAATTATAAAGATTATTATTTATCAAGAATTATAATTTATTAAAGAAGATGCATATATTATTGTTACTGTTGTATGTACATTTGAATATAATGATATTATCAATGAATGGTGTTTTTTAAGTGGTGTCGGAGATAAAGGAGATGAGTCATAATCATTAGATTATGGATATCCTATCCTTAAAACAACGATATAAAGAATGAGAAATATTATATTACTCATTAAAATCAAAATAAATCTCAGATAACAACTTAAATGAGGAATCATTTAAGTCGAGCATGCTTGCAAAAACTTTATTTGAATAGAAATAAAGCGTGTTGATGAAACTGATTCGCTCACTTCTCAACATGATGAAAAACCTAAAAATAAGGTTAATCATAATTGATTTGTTTTTATGTTATTCTTCTTGGGACTGAATGTATCACATCTGAAACACAACACAAACCATAGTATAATTGATGTTTTAACTCTCTCTATGTTATTATTTGGTTATGACGATATCTTTGAATATGAAATGTATTAGTTAATATTGCAAATTGTACATCAATTTATTATGGTTGAATATTACATAATGTACTATAAGAAATGATATTTATTAATAAACAAATTAAGAAATAAATATGGAAGTATTAATAAATGAAAATAATATAGTAAAGTGTGGTTAAGACTAAAAGAAAATTAATCATAATAATATAGTGGGAATAAAATACTTTCTTCTCTCTTTCATAAATTAAATTAAAATAAAGAAAATGATATTATTTAAAATTAAAATAGAAATCAAACTAAAAGTTAAAAAGAAGAAAGAAAAAAGAAAGAAATCTGAGAAAACTTTAATAGGAAGAAATAAAAGAAAGAAGTGATTTTCTCATACTCATATAAAATCTTAAAGAATATGTTAAAAAAAAAAGAAATTATTCTTTAAAAATAAGTTCAATGATGGGATTAATCTCCACTGATTCAGACAGAATGGATGAAAATTCTATTAACACTTAATTAACTAATTTTTTATTTATTTCATATTATTTATCTGATATTTTAGATTTATTTATTCATTTCTTTTTCTTTATTTATTTATTTATTTTTATTTTATTGAAACCATTTATTTGTTGATTTAAATATTATTATTTGTCAATAAAACATTAATTTTCATTTATTTTATTCCATATTCATTTTAAATGAAATTCTTAGTTATATTCATTACAATAATTAAATAATTTATCAATAATTGAATAAATAAAGAAGAAATAATTCAATTATAATATAAATGAGAAATATTATTTGAAAATAATATAATGAATAAATACTAAATTAAAAATGCATAAAAATAATGTCATTAATCATAATTCATTCAAAACATAAACACATAAAATACATTAATAACAAACACAAAAATATAAAAGAAATTATATGTTAATAAAATACTTTTATTATCAAATATCTTTCTTCTATTTATATTTTAATTTCATTGTTGTGTTATTAAATAATAAATAATATATATTTTATGGAAAATTAAATTTATTTAATTAACGATAAATGAAATTTATTAAAAATAATTGATTTCAATGTGAAATATTCAGAGATATTCAATCTTAATTTTATAAAATATGTAAATAGTAGCAACATGTATTTCATCAATAATTGTATTGATATATCATTTCGCTCAACAATCATGTTCAAAATGAATTTCTAACTATATATTATTCTTTTCTATCAATAACACATTATCTAACACATCAAACTTCATATTTCAATACAATGAAGTTATTATTTCATTGAGTATCAATATATCATCCATTATTTTGTATAACTGGAATTTAACAAATGACTCATTAATTAAAAAATCAACAAGACATTGTGAAAAATACTGTTTTAACTTCAATTTCATTATTTCTTGTAATTCTGTTATATTTCTTGATTTTAATAAAATGATTTTAAATAAACTCTAAATGTAGAATCCATTTCATTGTATATTTAATCAATTTCTTTATTGATTCCATTTCATATATTATAAATATAAATATTTGAACAAAATCATTCATCACACCAATTATTTTTATTCTCATGATTACACTGAACCATATGTTATTCTGAAATATCATGTATCT